AGGGGAGGGGAGGGGAGTTGAGTTTCTGGAAGTGCTAGTTGGGGAACCTGAGGCAGAGAGCAGAGACAGTGGGGTCTGCAGCTGGGGAACATATGATCGAGGGGTGGGTTAGACCAGTGGCATCCTAGTCCCCAGCTGAATACCAGTCTGGTCTTGCCAGGTCCCCTGAGTTCTATGAGGAGTTCAAGTTGCATCTTCCAGCCTGTGTGACCGAGAACCACCACCTGCTCTTCACCTTCTACCATGTCAGCTGCCAGCCCCGGCCTGGCACAGCCCTGGAGACTCCCGTGGGCTTTACTGTGAGGCCCCCCTGTCAGCCCGCACGCCCTCTCCGCAGCCTCCCGGCCCCTGCCCGGCCCACCCCTTACCCCCAGCTTCTTCCTAGTGGATCCCACTGCTGCAGCACGGCCGCCTGAGGACGGGCCCCTTCTGCCTACCTGTGTCTGTGGACCAGCCCCCGCCCAGCTACTCCGTGCTCACACCCGATGTACGTGCCCCGGCCCTCAACCTCCCACCACTCTGGCCCCCCATAGCTCCCCAGGCTCCTGCCTCATAGGCATTATACACCTTCCTACCAACACCTGGTGCCTCACCAACCCCGTTAGCATTCCCCACTCTCCTCGTGGTCCCCCATTCATGCCCTGCCTTCCTTCCCACCAACACCCCTGGGAGCCTTGTTAGGGTTTCCAGGGCCCCTCTCTGCCTTATCACCCCTGTTATTGCCTCTATGTTTCCTACTGCCCCTTGTGTCCCTGTCTCCAACTATTCCTGCCTCATTAGTGCCCTTTCATCTGCACTCAGAGTCCCCCACTAGCAGCCCTGCCTGCCTCCCTGATCACTGTCCCTCAGGAGCACTTTAGGACTAGTTATCCCAACCCCCCTCCATGAATGCTTTATCACCCTCCCACATACCCTCAAGCTGCTCATTAATGCCCCTGGGGCCTCAAGTCTCCCTGATTCTGCTATTTCCTGATTCAATCCCTTCAATTACTGTTCACCCTGGGTCTCCATTCTCAGCCTGCCCAGTGGAAGCCGATAGTGCTCCCTCCCAACTGCCCCCACCCCCATCTCTAGGCTAGGCTGGGGGCAGGGTGCCCAGGCAGGACCATGCTTAGGCTATGGTGTTGCAATAGCTGAAATGATGGGCTGGCAGCCTGATCAGTGGGGGAGGGCCAGTCAGGGCCCACCCGTGCGTCCCTCCCACAGGTGGCGCTGCCGGGCATGCGCTGGGTGGATGGCCACAAGGGCGTGTTCAGCGTGGAGCTCATGGCTGTGTCCTCCGTGCACCCTCAGGTAGGTGTTAGGACAGGAACCCAGGAGTTGGGCAACAGCTCCCATTGACCGGGGAGAGGCCTGGCCGTGGGCCATGGACATGATTTCAGTCAGCTGGCCGGGTCTCCCAGGAAGCTGCTGACTCAGGCATGGCAGTAGTGCTGGTGGCTACCCCAGCTGGGGCTTTGGCCCTTTGCATGGTCTCTCCTCCCTTCCATTTGTCCCCTGCTATGTCTGTGGTTACTCCCCCTCTCTCCTTCTTTCCTTCATCTAGTGTCTCATCCCTCTCCTTATTTTATTTTGAATTCGTTGACTCCCTGGCCTCAGTGTCTCTGCCCATTCAGCCCCCAACTCAGTCCCCTGAGGGCTTCCTGGACCAGGGCTCCTGTCCCCTCCCCACTCACCCCTGATCCCCCACCCAGGACCCATACCTGGACAAGTTCTTCACCCTGGTGCATGTTCTGGAGGAGGGCACCTTCCCATTCCGTCTCAAGGACGGCGTGCTGAGCGAGGGCACTGTGGAGCAGGAGCTGCGGGCCAGCCTGGCAGCCCTGCGCCTCGCAAGCCCCGAGTTCCTCGTTGCCTTCTCTCACCATGTGCTGGACAAGCTCGTACATCTGGTCGTGCGGCCCCCAATCATCAGTGGCCAGATTGGTGAGCAGGCATGACCTCAGATCTCAGTTTCCCCATCTAGACAAAGGCCCCTCAGTCCCCTGATCCTGGGTGACCTCCCCTAGCCCATTATCCCTCTGGCCTTAGTTTTCCCATCTGGAAAATGACCCCACCCCACTGAGCTGAGAGCTGGTCTTCTGTGACCCTTTGATGACCACATGACCCCTTGGGCCCTAAAGTCTCTCTCAGGAAGGTAGGAGGCCCTGGGCCCTAGAACCTGACCTCTGTTCTACCCGGCAGTGAACTTGGGTCGTGGAGCTTTTGAAGCAATGGCCCATGTAGTCAGCCTCATCCATCGGAGCCTAGAGGCTGCCCAGGACGCCCGTGGTCACTGCCTACTGCTGGCTGCCTATGTCTACTATGCCTTCCGACTGCCTGGCACTGAGCCCAGCCTCCTGGGTGGTGAGTATTGGTGGGAGAATCTGGAGGACAGGAAATATCCTAGACAAAGGGATATTTGCAAAGGGATATGTGCAAAGGTTCTGAGGCCACACAGACCTTGGTTGGTTTGGGCAACTTGCAAAAGGTGTAACTTTTTGCTCCACCCCCAGGGGTGTGGTCTTTGCATACTTGCTGGTAGGTGATTCAGCCAATCAGCAAGCAGAGACTCAAGCTGGGTTACCTGGGTTTGAATCCCAGTTCTGCCTCCTACAAACTCTAACCCTGGGCAAGTGACTTCACCTCTCTGAGCCTGTTTTCCCATTTGTAAAACGTCAGTAATGTGCCCCGTTTTTCTGTGGGTGCTGGCAATAGTAAGTGACATAGTAATCCATGCAAAATGCTTGGTACAATGAATACTCAATAAAGCTGGATTTTTTTTTCTCATTTGCTAAATAATTAATAATAACCACTACCCCTTCTGGGCACTTACTGTGTGCCAGGCACTATTCTTAGTGCTTTTAGTCTCCCCAGAATTGTTAAGATGCAGCAGCCATTACCATACCCATTTTACAGGTGAGGAACCTGGAGGCTCAGAAAAAGAAAATGACTTTGCCAAAGGCAGCCCGCTGGGAAGGGGCAGGCCATCAGGGCAGGTATGCAGGTGGCCGACCATATTCCCTCCATGCTCAGGGGCCCCTCCGCTGACAGTGCAGCCTGCCACGCTGGCCCGTGGTCCTGGCCGCCCTGCAAGCCTCTACCTGGCTCGCTCTAAGAGCATTAGCAGCAGCAACCCTGACCTGGCTGTGGCCCCTGGCTCTGTGGACGATGAGGTCTCCCGCATCTTGGCCAGCAAGGTAGGGTGAGGGGGTCCCTGGAACCCTCAGCCTCAGTGGCCATGGTTGCCAGGTGGGTGGGTGAAGGATCTCAGTGTTGATGGAGGACAGGAAACAACAGGCAACAGCTTGACCCTGGGCAGCAGAATCAGGCTGTGGCTGTCATAGGTTGGGAGCTATGACTTGGGCTTACACTGGGTTCCACACTCTGGGGCTGACCTGAGGAT